TACCAGTCCAATATCCTTTCGCCATCCTGCTTGTCATGGCATGATTCATGTATTGGAGATAAAATCCTCCCTGTGTGCAGAAGAATATGAGGAGTAGAAACAATTCCCTTGCTCATTTGCCTGGAACAGAGCGGACTTTAAGGTGCTGTCATTAGTGGAAATGCAAACCGACTTTGTCAAACTGTTCTACAGAATGGCCGCTTGATGGCACTGTGGCCGGCAGGCAGAGCCCACCACCTCTTCAGATTCCTGTCAGTCACACTGGCTGTTCCAGAGAAGTCCTCGTCTCATAGCAACAAGATGGGGAAATTGCTGAGCTCCCAGAGGCAGCTGCAGATTAACCAATCAATCAGTGTGTCCAAAACACAAAGCATCTAAACATTGGAAAAATTCCAAAATAATTAATACCTTTTATAGACGTGAAGTCACTAGTCAAAATATTATTTTAAACCCACTTTACAAATGGTATCATTAAAAAAACATCAACCATCGGACCATGAAACTGGCAGCTGTTTCACCCACACTTACCAGGGCTTCTCTCTTTCCTGCTCCTTTTATCATTTGACTCTGAGAATTCATGGACCTTTTCATAGCAGTGTAATCTAGACTTGCCCTAAAAGTAAATGTTCGTATGCTCCTGGTTAAGTAGACAGTTAAATTAATTTTAGGTCTGTCTCATTTCCTCAGACCCTCTTGAATTTTTTGAGCCCCCACAATTTGGGCCATTTAAAACTTTTTGCTCAACTGAAAACTTCTAGTCAAAAGCTCTGCGTTCTTTCTCAAAAGGAGTGTTTTTAAAAGTATGTGTTGCTTTAAAAACCCTGCCAACTATATATAATTTGTAGAATGTATGATTTTTAGTTCTGCAGGAAAAGGACCCCCAGAAGTGCTGGGCTCCGCAGTGCTGAGCCGTGTGTAACTTAGATGGCTACCAAAGTAACTAACAGGTGGAGACGCTGGAAAAGGGACAATGGACCAAGTGACTCACGGGACGGAGCAGGATGGCATGGATATTAAGCTTCTCAGACTGGCAGGCAATTGGAAAATATATGGATTATTTCTGCAATTCTCTGTTCAGTATTTTCAGACTGTGGTTGACAAAGGGTAACTCAAACCTCGAAAAGTGAAAAACACGGAGGAGGGGGACTACCGTATTGCTAAAGAAAGCCTCCAACCATGTACCATTATAGGGGCAGGCATGAAATCACTACAAAGAGTTCTGAAATATCATGCCTACAACACTGCATATTTAGATTCTGGCTCATTACATAAATGTTTATCTTCAGTTGTTTGATGTCTAATAATGGTCAAACCCAGGCATAAGTGAATATTTTAAATTTAATGTAATCCTTTACTACATAAGAAGCAGTTTCTCATAACTTGTAGTTAGCTTACCAATTACTTATTCTAGGAAAGTTACCCCTTCATTTTTTAGTTGATTCCAGAGAGAAAGAGAGAGAAAGAGAGAGAAGAGAGAGAGGAGAGAGGAAAGAGAGAGATGAGAAACATTTCTCTCCTAGGTGCCCTGACCAGGAACCTTTTGGTGTACCAATTGAGTCACACTGGCAATAGCATCCTCCCTCTTTTGCTAATAGATGAGGAAACAGGCTGAAAAATTAAATAATTTAGGGTGACTCAGATAATGGATCCAAGACCAATTTTCTGCCTAAATCTCACTCTTTTTACTATTTTATACAGTCACAGTTCAGTATAGTGAAACAGACAATTTGAGATATTTCTGGTGAAGATATTTTATTTTCCATAAAAATATAATTGTACAATGCTCTTCAGAGAAAGAAAAATCCCTTCAATGCCCCAAATACCATGTGGTTTAACAGTAATCTTCCTCTCCCTTAAATATGTCATAACAATAAGCAACTGATTTATTGTGAAATACAGCATTTATGTTTCCCTTTATTTTAACTAAAGCAAGTCCAGTTTAAACCTACACTTTTTTGTAATAAGCCAAATCAAGTCTATCATAACTCATAGATGAGAAAAGAAGATGCTAAATGGTGAAGCTGATAAATACTGCCAATTAGCTGGTAAATTGTGATATAAATTTGCTACAATAAGATAGATTCTGATTTAAATACAACAGAAATATTTTAGATAAAACAGGAAAAAAATTTAAGAATTTCAACCATATCCTAAAACTTGACTTGGTCAGACTTATTCTGTATTATATTCAGTCACCATAGTATAAGGCAGGTCTATGCTAAATGAATGACAGTTTATGACTGGCCTAAATATACAAACATATTTCCTCCCTTAACTTCCTTTCTTTGGGTAAAAAAGAAAAAGAGAACATCCCTCTGTCTCAGAGAACGAGGACCGCACTGGCCCAGAGGGACAGAGCTCGCTGATCCTTACCCTCCGCTGGGCCCTCTCGGCCTGTCATTCCAGGTACGTGAGAGGTGCCAGGTTTCAGTGTGCTGCACTCTAACTGAAATGGGGGAAGAAATGCTCCAGCTGTTTTAATCAGTGACGTTTATTTGACATGCTTCAAGTGGCCAAAGCGTGCAGCGAGCACAATTCCCAAAGTAATGAAAACACTCCTTTTTAAAGCCAAGAACTTTCTCTTGGTTTTGATCTACTCCAAAATACCCAATTGATAGGTTTAGGAGTAATCTCAAATAAATTGTAATTTACTTTCAACCCCAAATTATACATCTTCTACCTGACCTGAGGACAGAGGCACTGCTCTTGTAAAGGTACTGGGGCTAAGAGAAAGGGGGTATAACTCAGATAAATGACCCTGTGATTTAAAATTGCAACCAGAGAAGAAATACTTCAAGCACAATGGAGACATTCGATTGAAGAGCCACATTCATTTTGGAATGTTTGCTTGGAAAACAACTCTTCTGGGGAGTTCAAAAGGTACTCAACAAAGTAACAGAATAAGTACATCTTGCTTGGGTTGTTTTGGAAAATAAAAAGTATACATTTGAGTAGACCAGATGGCAAAACAGACCCATTACAACCTGAACACTATATTTAAAACACTTAAATTCTGAAAGCCTGAATATTAACAATCCTTTATATTTGTGATCCTAAAAAGACATTAAATACTCTGAAACCCCTGTCCACCAAAACATAGAAAGACCCAACACTCTGGGCTAGTGGTATATCAGTAGTCGCACAGGACTGGATTAGAGATCTGAGTTTGCAACCTTTGCACAAGAGATCTTTAGGAACTCAACTAAGGGGAGGCACTTTATTTAAATGCTTAGCCTAAGCGAAAGGGGGTGGGGAAAGTACCTGTTATCTGAAACTATGTGGTCTAGCTCATGTTCCTTCTCACAGAACATTTCATAACAAAACATATTTTGTTTGGAAGCCAAGTATTTGCTTAATTAGAGCCAAGGACAATTATAATTTAGCAGCAATAGGGCACACAACTCCTGATTTAACTATGGGAAAGAAAAGAGAGAGACACTCAATGGGGAAATCAGAAGAGTCCTATCCCTAACTGATTTGGCTCAGTGGATAGAGCATAGGCCTGCAGACTCAAGGGTCCCAAGCTAGATTCCGGTCAAGGTCATGTTGGGGCTCATCCCCATTAGGGGATGTGCAGGAGGCAGCTGATCAATGCTTCTCTCTCATTGATGTTTCTAACTCTCTCTCCCTCTCCTTTCCTCTCTGTAAAAAAAATCAATGAAATATATTTTTTAAAAAGAAAGATTCCTAGGTATATTTGAGTATATCATAGTATGAGGTGGATTCCTCAACCATCCCTCCATTTGTTGGTCAGGGAGAAGTGACTGTCGCTTTGATGGGAATTGGAAAGGACTGCTCTGCCCTTGTGCACCTCCTAGTGTGGTGCTGTGCATAACTCTAGCTCCAGTGTTTCACTCCAGCGTGGAGGCATAGCCGGGCCTGAACCAGATGCACATCTACAGTGTGTTTCGTTCTGGCTCAGAACACATTCATAAGGAAACTCCTGTCAAGGAACAAAGTAAGTGTTCTGGTGATGGCTACAGCCATTAGGTCTATCAGCAGTTTGTCCCTCGTTTTGTTCCAGATCTCTTGAGGCAGAAACTCAATCTCAGCAGCTAATTTCAGTCTATTCTCGTTAGGAAAAATTTCCAAGTTAGTTGACTCCACAAGGAAATGTGTGTGAACATTCATTCCTGCCCTCCCCACATACACATAGAGACATACAATAGAAACACATACATATGTATACACCCTGGATTGTCAAGATGATGGATGCTGCTGAAATGCCTAAAAGGTTATTTCTTGTTTAAAAATAAAATTTGAATAATCATTCTCCACGTATGGATTAGGCCCTAGCAAACTGTTATAAATACACTTTGAGAAGACAGCAACGAAAGTTTTAAACATTGGCTGTCTTGAGGGCTTTCTTGATGGATGCTGTTAACATGTACATTATTTAAAACAGGAATACCATTATGGATTATAAAAATAGAAATGTATATATTGGTTAATACATATTCACAGCTTATGCTGGAATGGCTCACAGGAGAAATCTTGGTTCATGCAGAAAACAGACGTTACTCAAGTACATATAAAGAAATAAAATTAGGTCCTTAAGGCTAAGAACTTAGTCATCAGCCCATTTGGTTTCTCTTTGCAGGGCAATAAAAAACATGAGAGGAGGTGACACCTAAACACACATACAAATACAATTACATGGAAAGAATATAAATTAACCAATAAAGCAATGTGGAGTTAAGGTGCAAAAATACAATCTTTACCCATTTTTCTCTACTCCTGTGTTTTCAAGCATTGCAACATATCAAATGCCATCGGTGGCAATACCGATCAGAATGTTTGTAAATTTTTCTAAGTGTTAAAAGTTGAAGCAAAATCCTTTGAGATCCAGGATCACACATTTGGTAGAAACTGCAGATTTACAGAGATGACTATGGAGCAGTAGGTAGTAAATGGAGCCAAGAAATACAATCTTGTCTATTCATCTTTCATAGGAATTAGGATATTTACTTCAATCACTGACTCAACATTTTACAAGATCTTCACCCTGAAAAACAAATCAAAGTTACCAATGTAAGAATGGTTTTAAAGTCAATGAAATTTAGTTAATCTGTTTTAAAATGCATAAAAAATCTTTTTAAAGTTTGGTATCTAGCCCTGGTTGGTGTAGCTCAGTTGGTTGGAGTGTTGTCTCATGCATTGAAAGTCGTGGGTGCAGCTCCTGATCAGGCCATATGCTTGGGTTGCAAGTTTGATCCCTGGTTGGGGAGTGTGGAGCACAGGAGAGGCAACTGATCCATGTGTCTCTCTCACATCGATATTTCTCTCTATATATATTTCCCTTGCCTCCTCTCAAAAAAGAAAATCAATTAAAAAATTTAAAGTTTGCTATCTACAGAAAGGCTATTTTAAAATACAAACTGAAGGAAAATGGAACCAACTTGCCTTTTTTATTTCCTTAATTCAATTTCCTCATCTAATAAAAGTTAAAAACATGCCAATACTTCAATTTTATAAAGTTCTTTTTAACAAAAAAATGTTTATGATATTTCCTAATACTATTTCAGGTGCTCCCAAAGCAATCACAATGATGAAGAAATCAATGCCATGACATCTTCATTCTAAAATCTGTATAGTCTCCCTAACAAATGGTGCTGGGACAACTGGATATTCACATGCAAAATAATTAATTTGGACCCCTACCTCATACCATATAGAAAAATTAACTCAATATGGATCAATGACCTAAATGTAAAAGCAAAAACTAAAAAACTCTTAGAAAAAACATAAGGTCAATCTTCATTATCTTGGATTTGGCGATGGATTGTTAGATATGACATTCAAGGCAAAGACAATAAAAGAAAAATAGATAAACTGGACTTCCTCCAAATTAAAATCTTTTGTGCACCAAGGGACACTATCAAGAAAAAGAAAACCTACAGAATGGGAGCAATATATGAAAATCATATATTTGGTAAGAGAATCCAGAATACATAAAGAACTCTTACAACTGAACAACAAAATGAAAAAGAACTCAATTAAAACATGGGCAAGGGGCTTAAAGAGACATTTCTTCAAAGGAGATATACACATGGCCAACAAGCACATGAAGAGATGCTCAACATCATTAGTCATTAGGGCAATGCAAATCCAAACCACAATCAGGCACCACACCCACTAGGAAGGCTATAGTTTTTAAAAATGGAAAATAAAAAGTGTTGAAAAGATGTAAAGAAATGGGAAGCTCCATATATTGCTGGTGAGAGTGTAAAATATTTCAGTCACTGTGGAAAACCGTGATTCCTGGAAAAGTTAAGTATAGAATTGCCATATGTTCTAGCAATTGCACTTCTAGGTATACACAAAAGAATTGAAAACAGTTACTCACACACTTGTACATACATGTTTATAGCAGCACTGTTCACAGTAGCCAAGAGGTAGAAGTAAAAATCCATAAATGAATGAATGGATAAACAAGTTGTGGTTCCATATACAAAGGGGTATTATACAGCCATAAAATGGAATGAAGTACCGGTATGAGCTACAATGTGGCTAACCTTGAAAACATTATGCTAAGTAAAAGAAGCCAGACACAAAAAGTCACATGCTGTAGGACCCCTTTATGCGAAATGTCCAGATTAGGTAAATTCATAGACACAAAGCAGATTCATAGCTGCCAGGGGCTGGAGGGAGAGGGTAATAGTGAGTAACTGCTCTAATGAGCTTAAGGTTTTCTTTTGGAGTGATGAAATGTTTTGTAACTAGATAGAGGTGGTGGTTGCACAACATTTTAGATGTAATAAATGCTTCTGAATTGTTACCTTTAAAATGTTAATTTTATGTTATGTGACTTTTGCCTTAATAAAAAAATTCTTTATAGTGATGGGCCACTATATAAGACTCAGCCTGGACTAGGTGAGGACCTGGCACATTGTAACACCTTCACATAATTATTGGAGGAAATACTTAAGTGAAAATACTTTGTAAAATGTAATGCAATATACAAATAAAAGGTATTATTATTAACAATAGCTAGAATGGTATACTCCCACTTATGGAGTAGGTCAACTTAATAAAAAAAATATTTCCATAAATTTATCAGTTGCACTTTATAGACCCCATGTAAAATGCATTTCAGTATTTATAATCTAATCATTTCAATTGCCTATTAGTATACTAGAGATCTGGTACACGAAATTTGTGCACAGGGATGAAGGGGGGGTCCCCTCAGCCCAGTCTTTACCCACTCCAATCCGGGATCCCTTGGGGGATGCTCAACATCTGATTTAGGCCTATTCCTGGGGATTGGGCCTTAACTGGCAATTGGGACATCCCTCTCACAATCTGGGACACTGGCTCCTAACTGCTCACCTGCCTGCCTACCTGATCGCCTCTAACTGCCTCTGCCTGCTGGCCTGGTTGCCCAGAACTGCCCCCCCCCTCACGCCAGCTTGGTCGCCCCTAACTGCCCCCTCTGCTGGCCTGGTCATCCCTTACTGCCCCCCACCCCACTGGCCTGGTTGCCCTTGACTGCCCCTCTCTGCCAACCTGGCTTCCCCCAACTGCCCTCCCCAGCTGGCCTGATCACCCCACACAGCCTGCTATTCGGTTGTTACTGTGAGGGTGTCCTGACCAATTTGCATACTACCCTTTTATTAGTATAGATTATAAACATCAACATTTTATTTATTTAAAGATAAATACAGAGGGAAAACGTCATACAGAGACAAATGATCAATAGAAGTCCTACCTTAAAACCCTCCTCTACCTACATAGAAACTCTCCAGGTATTATACTCACAGGAATTGGTGTTAGCCTCTGTTTTTCCAACCTTCAAGTGCCTGCTTGAGTTCTGCTGAGACTTGTTCTGCTCTTCTCCAGTCAGTAGGGCCTTTATTTCAGAAGGGATTTTTCCTTGGTCCATTGCCATACACCACTGCTTATACTGAAATATATGAAACATATTTAAGTAAAATTTTACTAGTCAGAGTTCAGGAACCACTGTTGAAATGCTAGGAACTCCCATGTCAACAAGTCAAATTGGCTGCTGGGAATTCCATCCTTCATTGTACTTCTTATTTCCAACCTAGGAGATGGATGAAGCCTACCATTTTTCACAAGAGGGTGAAAAACTGCTGCTGAATCTTCTGATGACATACTGGAATATTGCTTAGATTAAAAAAGGCCCCGCTGGTTAAAAGACTGTCTCCTCACAGTGTGCTACCAATTAGAATTCATCTCTTTTGGCTAAATGATCATATTATTACTTCTACTCCTAAAATAAATACTTTTGTAATTCCCTTCTCTCTTTCATAAGCATTCATTAAACATCTGCTTTCTTTTTTATAATATATTTTTGATTTCAGAGAGGGAGAGGAAGAGGGAGAGAGAGATAGAAACATCTATGAGAGAAAATCATCGATTGGCTGCCTTGTGCATGCCCCCAACTGGGGACAGAGTCCACAACCCGGGCATGTGCCCTTGATCATTATGGAGCTCGGGATCCTTCATCCACGTTCTATCCACTAAGCCAAACCAGCTAGGGCATCTACTTTCTACCAGAGTGTATACTAGGAATTAGGGTATACAAAGATTAAATACTCCAAAGATTATGCCTTCAAGTGGCTTACATTACAGAAGGTGAGAAATAATTATAGCATAAGTCAAATTCAATATACTGAAAAAATATTACTGCATAGTGTATATCTGAACTCTCTTTATGCCCCAACCTTATTTTCGTATCTTCTAAAAAGTGGAGGTAGCCTGTCCTACTTTTGTAATGACCAAGGTACTCTCTCTTCTCCAACCTGTCACCTCCTCCCTGGAGCTCACAGTAACGGGGTTTCTATTCTCTTACATTTCTACAACCACCACCCACAATTTGAATAAATAAATGAAAGAATGAAACATGCCAAATAAATAAATGTTTAAACAAATGGTATCATACTATTCATATTGTAGCATATTGTTATATTGCTTTTTCTACTTAGCCATATATTGTAAATGTTTTTCTATATTAATAAACATATAGGTGTACTATGATTTTTATTGGGTGCAAAGTAGTCCAATATATGAATGTGCTATCATTTATTTAACCAACCCATTATTGTACATTTGGGTTATTTTCCATTATTTTCCTATCATAAACAATCCCTCAATGAAATAGTCATGTACATTCCACTCCTACTAGTAGTGTATGAAAATGCTTATTTGCCCACATCCTGAACGACCAATAAATATGCTTTCCCATGTCTGTCAAATGGATCGATAGGTGAAAACTGGTTTCTTCCTGTTTTAATGCTTTGACTGTGAAGCTTACGTTGATTTTTTTCACGTATTTATTGACAGACTTTCTTACCATTTCCAGTTCCTCTCTGAGGGCACATATGGCTCTTTCCCGGCTGGATACCAATTCTTCCAAATACTGATACCTCAGTTTCTTTCTGGCCCGGCATTCTCTTGCACTCTGCCGGCTCCTCTCAAGTTTTGCCTTCAAGTCAATTTTGGCTGGCTTCCGGCCACGTTTGCCAGGCTTCTTTACTTTGCCTCCAATCACCTTCAGCAAAAGAGACAAAAAATAATTTTTTTGTCTTAGTTCTGTGTCTAGGAAAGTGACTATGCCTGCATACTAGCATGGAAAATATTTATAAATGATAAATAAATGAAGAATGAAACTAAAAAAGCATAATCCCATCAAATGCCTTATGAGGCCTTGCTTCATAATTTGTTTTCCTGGTACCTTTGATACCATGAATTTGAGAGAAGAAATAATTTAAGTTTTTATTATTTCTTTAATAATAAACTTCAAATAGCTTAATAATAAACTTTATAAGCCATATGTAACTGAAAGATTGCCAAATTTTTATTGACTTGATAAAGTAATAAGTTAAAAAAATCAATTTTCAAAATTGTAAGTTCACTATGACCTCAAAGAAGAAAGGATGTTGTTAACAAAAGGTCAACGAATATTTCTCTGATGGGTATGATTATAAATAGCTTTTTCTCACCTGTATTTTTAATGATTTTTAAATGTTTACAATTAGAAAAACAAAATTTGAATGTAAAATTATGTATATATAAAAACAAATAGGTATCCTAAGCAATTTGACAATAAATTTCCTCTTCAAATGTGTTGAGCTCAAAGAAACACATAGGCAGTCCCTGAAATCCTCAGGGTACTTCTCTTCTGCCTTTATCTATTATTTTTTTTAAAGTAATTCTTGCCAAAACTGGTTTGGCTCAGTGGATGGAGCGTCGGTCTGTGGACTGAAGAGTCCCGGGTTCAATTCCGGTCAGGGGCATGTACATTGGTTGCGGGCACATCCCCGGTGGGGGGTGTGCAGGAGGCAGCTGGTCGATGTTTCTCATCAATGTTTCTGGCTCTCTATCCCTCTCCCTTTCTCTCTGTAAAAAGTCAATAAGATATATTTTTTAAAAATAAAAATAATTCTTTATTGTTGAAAGTATTACATATGTATCCCCTCTCCTCCCCTCCCCGCCGCCTGCCCCTCCCCGCAGGCCTTCAGCACTCTACTGTCTGTGTCCATGGGTTACGCACATATGCATACATGGCTTCTCTCCTGCCTTTAGAAGCCCATAATTATAGTAAAATCTCCTATACTGTCTCAGGAGACTTCCACTTGATATTCATTCACCTGCATAGGCACAGGTTTCTGGTGACAGGCAAAGTAACTTAATCTTCATTATTTAGCTTTGGAACCTCCCCACGTCCTTACACAAGATGTAACCATGAGGATGAGGATGTTTTACATACATGAGCCTGAACTTACACATCAAATAAAATTTTTTTTTTTTTTTTAAAGAAGTCCTTTGAAAGGCGGGGGCGGGGGGTGGGGTAGGTGGGGTACCTTTATTCCAATGAACAAATTTGTTTGGAAAGTGCTCAGGAGCCAATTTCTGACAAGCCACAATACAAAATGCTTTTAGAAGAGGCTAATGTTATTTTAGAGCAATAGATTTTTCTTTAAATTCCCAAACAACTGGATTATCCACTCTGTTTATCGGACAAGGTTCTGTATGATGTCCTGTTCTTTCTGAAAGTTACCCTCGGAGGATAAAAAGTACACAGAAAGTAATATTTCGGAGGCTTTAGAGGCCAGTGTAAAAGAGAAGATGCAAATCAAACGCTGACAGGTCATCAGAATACCTGTAGAAATCTTCCCAGGTAACAAAACTCAAAGGATTTGTTTGAAATCACTATTAATATCACACACTAACAATGCCCTATAAAAATCAGATCATTACTAAGTATCATGGTTGGGTCAAGAAAAACCACACTTTGAATGTGGATCAGCCACATTTACCAGACCCTGTTTTATAACATGATGGTTAGCCACTGCATCTAGCGTTTTATAGGATGGCTCTGAAATGAAACTGAAGAGGGAAAAAGTCTTTCCTTCCCACTACCATCTTGAAAGCTAGCTGCTTCAGTACTACTCCCAAATTAGTTTCAACTTTTCAAAAACTGGTCTTTTAAAGCTATTCTATTCCGCATCATCATGTCTTTGTTCCAATATAATAATATGTATCTCAGGAAATTTTCCCTCAGGGTCAAATATTTGATTAGCAATTCCAGGATGACTAGTTGATCCAAATATTACCCTGGGCTAAATTATGCTTATCAACTGCACAATTTTATTTATTTAAATATATTTTATTGATTTATTACGAAGAGGAAAGAAGAGTGATAGAAACATCGATGAGAGAAAAACATCGACCAGTCTCCTCCTGCACGCCCCCCCACTGGGGATGTGCCCGCAACCAAGGCACATGCCCTTGACCAGAATCAAACCGGGGACCTTTCAGTCTGCAGGCTGACGCTCTATCCACTGAGCCAAACCAGTTTCGGCTCAACTGCACAATTTTAATAAAGTATTTTGAAATCGCCTTAATTAAAACAAAGTGTACTTGCTTTGCTACAGCTTTTAAAAAACAATATATTTACAGCGGAAACTCCTGTCTATAGAGAAATAAATGGTAACCACATTTATTCTTTATGTTGTAAAATGAGTCATCACACAACACTATCTATATTGCTGATTTTAATTAATGCAGGAGTGGCTGCTTTGAGAAGCCAACAAGAGAACACAGAGTACTTCACAGATTTCATTGATTTCTGAAACACACCTAGCACAATCATAAAAATCAAACAGAAGTTATAACCCTTTGTTTAGTTTTCATGGTAGCAAAATATTTAAATTGGAACTATTTTATTCCCTCTTTTATTAGAAAGGCAGAGTAAATTAATCCAGGGTTCCTGTATTTTATATCACCTCCTGTAAAATTACATTTTAAGTCACATAACACCACCTCTCTAGCTTAACTTTTCCTCAGGAATAAATAAAATTTTTGGCTTTTGGTGCAAGCTAAAACTTCATCAGTGTACAGTTTTCAAGAGTCAAGTATATCACAGGATTACTTTAAATTTTAAGTGTAATAATGTGTGACAGCACTTGGTAAAGGAAAGGTTATTATACACACGTAGGTTACTATACTAGGTTGCCAACTACAGTAGTTAATGAAACTTTATATATTTCATAAGCCATAAAGACGGCAGGACGAATAGGGGAAGTTAATTAGAAACTAGGAACCAGAAACTAAAACTGAAACCAACCTCACAAATTCCTTAAATATCCCTGGGCCAAAAATCATCCGTACCCCTATGTTTCACAAAATTTTCTCAAACCCAGTGATAACCACAGTGCCCCCTTGCTTTCTCCTACTTCTGTGAGGAAGCTTTTTTCCTCACCTGTATTTCTTATGATTTTTGAATGTTTCTAATTTATGTGTTCAAAAAGCCTGGCAATTAAGAAAAAAAACGACTGGATTCAGCCAAGAGAGAGTTCCTGATAATTCTAAATTTAGCCATTACAGAGAAAGACAGAATAGTTTGCAAAGGTCTGAGCGTAGAGGGCACAGGCTTCCCAGTCAACAGGTTTAACTTCCGCAGGAAGAGGGGGCATGACTATAGCTGCAGGCTCTTTAGGGGCTTATGAGAAGAGGAGGTTTCCAGGGTCCAGATTAAATCCTGTTTCAAAGGGGCTTGAGTCACTTTAGGCACAAGAACAACATAAATTCAGGGCTAAATCGGGGGGTGCAGAGAGGGAGCACGCACAGTGGACAAGGCCTTGACTTAGGCACTCTACATGTTCTCTCATTTTACCACTTCAGGTGAGGTAAACCCTACAATCCTCATCTTTTTCAGGGAAAGGGGAACAATAACTCATTTATTCAACAACCATTTATTGAACACCCACTATGCCCCTAAACACTGTCAAACTCTAGGAATATCAATATAAGATAGGGTCCTTACTTTTAATGTATTTAGACTCATGAAACACAGCAGATAGAAAAAAAACACACCAAAAATATTATAAGTGACAGGATAATTGTATCTATAGGAGTGCTGGTAGTAGATATACATGCAGATATGCATAGCGATCTCTTTATTGCATAGGTGACCAATTTTTTTTTAATGACAACATTTTAGCTCAGAGATTTTCAATGTCAGAGAAGGGGTTAGACCCAAGTCCTCTGATTTGCATTATAGCAATTTGTCATACAATAACTCACTGTCATCAAGCATGACTAGTCTCCTTAGGTTCCTAGGTAATACTCTTTAACTTGCACATATAGTTCCCCAAAAAGGCTCTACCTAAAACTGACAGGTGTTAAGTACACACTGCTACATTAATGCTACGTAGTCATTCATTTAATCCAGCTCACTGTGGCATTAGGCACCTGGGAAGGCAGTGGTGAGGTTAACAAACCTGTTCATTTTATGCTTCCTTGAAATTTTTGTTGTGACTCTCCACACCCACCCACTGTAGTCATGCCAATTTATTACTTTATAAAATCTCCTCCTCTCTATTCCTACCACCTACATTAGGCAGGGATCTCAGGGATTATTACAATAGGTTCCCAATGGGTCTCCCTCCCTCTCTTCCCCCACTCTTATCCTTCTTTTCTCTCCCCGCTTCCCTAGTTAATCCATCTTGCAAAGAGCTGCCAAAGGAACCTTTCTTTTCAGCTTATGATGATCGCATTTTTAATTTAGTGTATTTTGGTGTGTTTTAAGGGTAACACCTGATCATTACAGGGAGGGTGAACTTTAATGGCCCTTTAGCCATGTCACTCTCAAGCTCAAGCGAAGACCTTTGGCTCAGCACTGCTTACTAGGTCACCACATCCAGCATATGAGTTTCCTGTGGCTGCTGTAACCATTACCACAAACTTGGTGGCTTAAAATAACCTTAATGTCCCTTTACAGAAAATTGGCCAATTCCTGCTCTAGCTTGTGACAGAATACTTACTTGCAGCTGCAATAAGCTTTAGAACAGGATATTCCCTTTCCCTGATTTTCTGGGGGACTCCTATTCTTCCTTACAGGTTCATTCCTACTGTGTGAACCATGGCTGACATACCCAAACTATTAGGCATCCATTCTAGTGCCCCAAAACCACTTTGCCTCTACTGCCCTCATTTCTTACTTCACTATATTGTAATTATTTTCCTATGTGTCTGCCTTGCCCACTGAAATGTAAGCTCCAAAGAATAGTTATGAACTCTTATTGACCTCTGTATCTCTACTGTGTAGCACAGTGTCTGTACATATTCAGTGTCCAACAAATGTCTGATAATTAACAAAAAAATAAACTTTTCTGAGAAGAGCAAAACATTATTTAAACTTCAATTTCAATTGGTTTGTGTAGTATTATCCCTTAGGGCTAAACTATCTGTAGAGGCAACCTGGTTAAAATGTGCATGTAACCTAGATGTGAAAGGCAGGCACATTAAAATATTAATATCTGCTGTCAGGTATTTATTTAGTAGATGAGCTGGCTCTTCTGTGTTAGTCTTGTGGAAGGTATTGATGGAGTAGAAAAACAGAAAAGGCAGAATATGTCTGAGCATTGTGGTGCTTCCAAGGAGGGTAGCTCCAACTGTAAAGGAAGGCTAAGGGGCCCAAAGTGGGGGACTTCAAGGGCCAAAGCTCAGGTCTGGGAATGTCAAAGAGGTTTTTTTGACCAACTTAAAAATTTTTGCAAGAATTAGCACTACTCACAACAACTGAATGGAACAAAAGAACCTGTCTTCTAACCTAAGGAAGGTGTAAGAAACCTCACTTTCAGGTAACTGTGGGTTAGGCAGGTGGAAAGGAAGTATGCAGGCGAACAGTAGCCCACAGAAACATACTGTAACAAACAGCTGGCCATCCTGTCATCAGTACCTCAATTGGAACTTGATGCCCTACACTGTCAGAATGGGCAAAAAAGCATGGTGATCTTTTATCAATTTACTAGAGGCCCGATGCATGAAGATTTGTGCAAGAATGGCCCTTCCTTCCCCTGGTTGTTGGCACCACCTTTCTGCTCCAGCCTTCCCATGCTGCCCAGAGGCCATGAGCGGCTGGGGTGATGTGAAATGCCTGCTTCCTGCCCTACCTCCAGCCGCTTGGCATCTGTGTATGCTAATTAACATGCCAGCTTTGTTGACTTAATTTGCATACTCACTCCTGATTGGCTGGTGGGTGTCACGAAGGTACAGTCAATTAGCATGTTACTCTTTTATTAGGTAGATAGTCTGCGGCAAGAACATATCTGGTCTAAGATATTTCAATGTACTCATTCATTCATTCAATAATCATAAAAGTCAAATATAAAACACGAACCTTCTGTTTATGATCAAAGCCTCTGAAAAGATCACATTTCAATTTTCTTTGTAACTGAATGGGGCAGGTCAGGGAGAAAAGGCTTTCATAAGAACAAGCACTCTTTTGTAGAGGTGGACATGCAGGTGGGCTCAGGAGACTTCCTTTCTCACATAATCTGACAGTTTAGAGCAACGGTTGCCAACCTTTTGGACCTCACGGACCACCAGTGGTCTGCGGAGCAGCGGTTGGTAACCGCTTGTTTAGGGCACAAATTAAGTTCACTTCATGTCCCATCCCATTGCACCTATCCCATTTGGGGGCATAGTTAGGAGCAAAGGATAGTGCAGGAGTAAACAGAACCGCAAAAGTTATACAACAGTATGCACTTAAGAATTAGTAAAATGTGCCCTAGCTGGTTTGGCTCAATGGATAGTGCATGGGCCTGGGGACTGAAGGGTCCCTGCTTCAATTCTAGTCAAGGGTTGTGGGCTCAATCTCCAATAGGGGATGTGCACAAGGCAGCAGATCAATTATTCTGTTGTTGATGTTTCTATCTTTCTCTCCCACTCTGAAATCAATTAAAATATTTAAAAAAAGAACTAGTAAAAGGAGCATGTTAGGTGCTTACTACCCTATGCTGAAGACCAAGGAAGTCACTTTGAGGTAATGCAATAATGATAACATTTTTTGAGTGTCTATTGTGTTATAGTCTGTACTCGAGGCATTATTTCTAATCCTCAACAAAGCCTGTGAAGAAGGTGGCATTTAAATAACATTTAATTAACGTTTAATTTTAAGTTAAAATCAAAATAACTTAGCCAAGATTTATTCCTTCCTAACTAACCTAATAGAAATCTACTCGGTATTTGTACTCTGCTACTTAGTACTTTCCCAAGCCCTGTTTTAGATATCCAATATAGCTCTTGCTTTATTTTTCCTATTTGTTATCTTCTGCATACTCTGGCTGGTTGGCTCAATGAAACACATTAATGAAGTCCAGGTACATGAGGGCATTCTCTGTAATGCCACTCTGTTCCAATTCAACTCAATCATTAATGACAACCAGTACTCTATGCTGTATCAGGCACAATCCTAGATACTTGGGAGGCAAAGCTGCACCCACATTCAGATTTGTCTTGCTCTTACTCCAGGAGGCAGAATGTGGAGAGCTCTTGGCAAACTCATTCATCACCACTGATGAAAACAACTCGGGATACAGAATCTTTATAAAGGGAGGACCTCCCATTATCATCAACCGTTTCTTGACCCGCTCATTCAAATACTGCCTTTCTATCATTGCTGCTCCTGCTCGCTTCATCCTCTTCCTGTCGCCCTGCCCTAGCTGTCAGTGTTTGTCATCCTGTGTGCTCTCACCAGCTCTGCTCCCACACTCCCAAGCCCCAGTCCTCACCATCTTCCCTTCAGGGAGCAATGGAACTGAGACTCCATCACCCATACATAATGTGAGGAAGAAGTGTGTTATGAGTGTGAGTATGGATGTCTGTATGTTCTAGGAAGACAATAGTTTTGTAGGACTGCAACAGAGAAAGGCAGACCTTGGACCTGCCAAAGCCTTATTACTTAAGGGCTGTTTCACAGTCTGACTGCAGAAAGCAGCCCAGTCTTTCTGTACATGACATTTAAATATTACTCACCCAAACCTATGCAGTCAAAGTGAAAGTAGTGTGTTCACAGGGACACTATTCATCCACTGACATCTGAAATGGATTTTACTTTCCACACTCATTAAAGGTTTAAGAAACTGCTGGTTTCTAAATTGTTTCATAAAAACAATGAATTGATAAAGAGTGAAAACCTAATTTATTTTGTGTACCTGGAAAACCCTAGAGGAAGTAAGTTATGAATAGTCTACCCCCATAACTTAATTTCACTCTTCTGGGCAAAACAAAATAAAATTTTATACCCTCTAATAGTTTTCTTGTTTTAGAAGTAACTCCTAGGTGACTTTATAGGTAAGTAAAATAACTCAAAATCTTAAGCATTTTTCTTGGACTTGAGATTATTGAAGACTTTGAGAAAGTTATTAAATGTTTCAAAGATGCGAAAAGGAAACAACTGAAAATGATGTAGACTCTACTGTGAGAACAATACGTTATTTTGGCATTCTTAAAGAGCCATAACATGATTTTTCTGGGAAAGATAATGGATACAGTATGTGAATTTAATTTCTAAATTAACACTGCAGAGCAAGCTAGCAGAAGCTCTCTGGAAAAGTTATTTTCTGATTTTTCTGGAATGTTTAGAATTCCCCCTTTCTGTCTGGGAAAGACCACTTCCTATTAAGTGGGGCTTACTATTTCACAAGCAGACTGCTTCTCTAGGTGAGTCCCAATTCCAGAGTACTGTGCTGGACTTTCCCTTCTATCCCTTTTCTCAGAGCCTTCTGCCGGAACAGGAAGAGGAGATCATGTAGAACAATACAAGCAGTACAGAGAAGCTGGAAATCTTTTCGGTCTCTCTGATTGATAGGTGAAACCAAAACTGGACAGCAGCAAAAATGTTACTGGTTACCTGGAAGGGGAAAGGGACACCCAAACAAAGAAAAAGGCTACCTCCAGCATCATGCTGGAGAGTGTAGAAAGTCAGACCTCTGGATAGCAGAGGGAAGGAGCAAGTCCCACTTCAAAAATTGGCAATTTCTGTAAGTCTGATGATCAATAAGCTGACCATCCCTATCTCCATGAAATAAAACTGGTCAACACTAATGTGGATAAAGACAAAAAGGTTATACACATGTGAATGACCAATCATGAACACTGCTCTTATCATCACAAGGATAACTGATTTGGATAGAGAAAGGGGGTTACAATGGGTTATTAACGATCGATTTAACAAGAAAGAATTCACTACGTTTCTTCGGGAAGGCTTTCCAGAGGAGGTTAGCTTCCAGACTCTGGACGAATAGCAACAGGAGCTCAGCAAAGTGTTCCAACCAACCACAGGAAAATAGCTCAGAGGGGGAGTGAACTGATTATATGAATGGGGCATTGAGTAAAGGGCGCAGGAGAGAAGAAAGGGGAGCAGTCAAGGGAAATAGGGCTGGTTCAGGGTGTCCTAGTTAAAGATCTCCCAACTAGAGAAAGCCGGGGCGGGGGCAAGGGAAGGCAAAAAAGGGAAAGCAAAAATAATTCCTTCACTGATCTCGGTAGGCAAGTCAAGGGACTGGGGTTGGCACTACCTGGAAAAGCTGACACACAGGCTTCTGCCCTGAGAGTGAACAGTTCCCGGAGGAGAGGGCCCCTTTTGGGAGAACACGGCCCGCTGCCTCCTGAGGTCCTGGGTGGGTGGGGGCCCTGGGGCGCTAGCTGAAGGCGCGGGGGCAGCTCAGGCAGGTGCTTCTTGGGTGCTGGCACGGACTACAGAGCTAAAGCTCAGCGGCGGACCCGCACTCAGCTTAGCGACAAGCAGGCGGCGGCGGCGGCGGCAGCTGCGCGTGCAAACCACAGGACTTACCTTACTGTCATCCATCTCGGCAGGCAGGCCAGCCTGGCCAGGCGCTCCCTCCCCCAGCCCTCCCAGCTCCGCCGGCCGGGCCCGGCCCGGCCCCCGCCCCGGGGGAAGAAGGGGGTATGGTTCTGACTGCCTCCTCTCGCCTAACAGTTCGCTTCCCTGATGCCACCGTCACGGGGAGGATGAGGGACCAGTTCAGGAATGGCAGAGCGGACCCTGGAGGCGGCCCAGAACGCCTCCCTTCGCCGCCACCGCCCCCTCCGCCCCCTCCATGACAGTCTGGGTGTGTTTACAGGCGCCCTGGAGAGCTGCCGGGACACTGGGGTGGGCGGGGGGAGAGGCACGCGCGGAATGGCCCCCTCCGGCCGCCGTAGCACCGCGCGGTTCTGGGGATTGTAGTTTTCCCGTACCCCAGTTTGTACGCGGCAGACGAGGAAGGGAACTACAATGTCCACAAGGCTTCCGCCAAGCGTCTGTTTTCCTCCGGCTGCGAGCATTGCGAGGGCGGGACCGGGCGGGGCCGGGCGAGAGGCCCTCTCAATGCGTTTCCCACAATCGCTCCCTGGGAGGTTTGGGCCTCGGGATCCCAGCGGCTTGGGCACCGGGCGGAAGGAGTCTGGGGCCCTATGGAGGCAGCCCTGAGGTGGGGACCCCCAGGACTCCCGGGAGTTTTCTTATTGAAAAGGCGCGGCTGCTTCGGGAAACCATTTGGAGGTTCCTTCCGATATTAGAGTTACCATATGGCCGGCAATTCCCGGAGAAATGGGAACACATGTCCACATGAAAACTTGCCCATGACTGTTCTGTCCTACAAACTTTGTTCATAATAGTCCGAAAGTGGAAGCAAACCAAGTGTCCTTCCGTGGATGAGTGAATATGGCCAGTTGTAGCGTATTGTTAGGAATAGTACCAGACCCTAAAGAGGAACGAAGTATTGATAACGTGCTACAATGTGGATAAGCCTGGGATAACATGCAAAAATGAAAGAAGCCAGCCACATATGGTAGAGTTCACTTATAAGGAAATGTCCAGAATAGGTAAGTTTAAAGAAACAGACAGTTGAGTGGTTGGCGGGGGCAAGGGTTGGGAACCACAGGGAGGAAGGGGAGCTGGGTTGGGGGAGTGATGGTTAATGGATCCTGGGTTTCTTTTTGAGGTGATGAGATGTCCTCAGATTGATTTGGGGATGGCTGCACAGCCCTGTAAATATGTTAAAACACACACACACACACACACACACACACACACACATATATATATATATATATATATATATATATATATATATATATATTTAAATGAGTACATTTTATGGTGTGTGAATTATATCTCAATAAAGCCATTTAAAAAATGAGTGTCATTGTGCCCTCCTGGTTTAATAAAGTTCGTGAGCTCGTTGTTGTATTAGCCTATATCAGGCCATTGAGGACTTGACAAAAGTTGTATGTTCATTAATGTTATTCTGAAGAGCCCTTTGATTCCTTTCACACTCTTCCAAAATTCAATTTGAGATAGAGTTCCCAGATTCAGCAGTAAGTATACAGGACAGTCACTTTCAATTGGATTTTCAGAATAATACCTTTTGTAGTATAAGTATGTCCCATGTAATATTTGAGACACATTCTTACTTTAAAAAAAAAAGTATTTGGCCGGGACCGGTTTGGCTCAATGGATAGAGCGTCGGCTTGGGGACTGAGGGGTCCCGGGTTCGATTCCGGTCAAGGGCATGTACCTTGGTTGCGGGCATATCCCCAGTAGGGGGTGTGCAAGAGGCAGCTGATCGATGACTCTCTCTCATCGATGTTTCTAACTCTCTATCTCTCTCCCTTCCTCTCTGTATAAAATCAATAAAAAAAAAAAAAAAGTATTTGTTCTTTGTCTGAAAATGAAAATTAACTGGGTGTCTCCTGTTTTATTTGGCAACTCCAAATTGAGTAAGAGTAAGTACTATTATAATAGGCAAGTTGAGTCATCTCTGTCTGATCTGTACAGTCAGCCCTCCAAAGGCTCTGTGAAGAAGGCAACCTCTTCCAAGTCAATGCAGCCTGGGCAGGTCATGAGGTTGGTAATGGGTCTGGCATGCTAGGCTAGGGACTGTTGGGCCTAGCTACATCCTCTCTGAGCATCAAGGGGGCAAAAGTCTGTGTTAGTGCGGGCTCTCTTCCTCTTCCTCTCCTAATACCCCTTTTGTTCAATACCTCCAAGAGTCCCTTTCCACCTCCCAGCCTCCTCATCCTGAGCCCAGCCTGCCCTCACTTTGCCTCCTCTCTGTGCCTTTGGTGCTGTTAAGCCCTGTTCATCAAGGTAGAACTTTTTCTCCTGGGTTAGTTCTCTGCCACTTTTCCTTCCCACGACAGAAATGCGCCCACATGGATGGACCCGGAGAGCATTATGCTCAGTGCAGTCAATCAGAAAGACAAGAACAGTACCATATGATTTCACTCATGCGTGGAATCTAATGAACAAAATAAACTAACCAATAAAATAGAAGCAGACTCATAGAGAACAGACTGACAGCTGTTGGGGGGATGGTGGTGAAAAAGGTGAAGGGATTAAGCCAAAACACACACACACACACACACACACACACACACACACACACACACACATACACATACACACACACACAAATAACCCTCAATAGACCCGGACAACAGTATGGTGATTAACAGAGGCAAAGTGGGGATGAGGTGAAGTAGAAGAGGACATTGGGGGGATAAATGGTGATGGAAGAAGATTGGATTTGGTGCGGTGAACACACAATACAATATACAGATGATGTATTATAGAATTGTACCCCTGAAACCTATATCATTTTATTAACCAATGTCACCCCAAGAAATTCAATTAAAAAAAAATGCACCCAGCCCTTGGTAATGAAACTTACCTACCCATGCTTGGCTGGGTGTGAGCGGCTCACAGACCCAATTGCCAGCCCCTAAGATTCTTTGAACCAAGTAGTGGGAATCTAAAAACTTGCAGGGGCAGCAAGTATATATATATCATACCAGCTTCAGAAGAGTGGTTTTCTCTAGGGAGGAAGGGGGCCTGAGATTCGAAGGGTTCTGGGTGGTTGGCTATATGTTTAACTTTTAAAGAGATGAAGCAAATACGTTAAATCTGTTAGTTGGGATATATGTTGTGGTATCCTCTTTATATTTCTGTACATATGATATATTACACAATTAAAATAAGAATTAAAATTTAAAAATATAAACACTTTAGAAAGAGTGGAAGTACTTTATTTAAAAACATTTTTTTAAATTTATAAAAATAAACTTAATCACATCATAAAAGAAGACATTATAGTCAAAACCAATTTGGTTAGTGGATAGATTGTCGACCTGTGGACTGAAGGGTCTCAGGTTCAATTCCGGTCAAGGGCATGTATCTTGGTTGCGGGCACATCCCCAGTGGGGTGGGGGTGTGCAGGAAGCAGCTGATTGATGTTTCTCTCTCATCGGTATTTCTAACTCTCTATCCCTTTCTCTTCCTCTCTGTAAAAAATCAATAAAATATTTTTTTTTTTTTAAAAGAAGACATTGTAATTGGAAGAAAATTTTATGAAAAAGAATTGTGTAGTCATATGTTCAACATTTGCAGAGAAATGCCCAGGATTGGTAACAAATTGGTGAGGGAGAACAAGAATGAATGTTAACTTCCATAAGTATAAACCCTCAAGAACTTTGTAATCCAGGAAGGAGAAATTCACACACACAGGAGACGGCGAAGAATCATTAAACAGGGCATCTGATGAAAAATAATACAGATCAAGTTTAATACCTCTGTGTTAAGTGGGTAGGGAGATCCAAGCATCAGACTGATTGCCAGAAAAGGAAAAGTGAACACAGCAAATGAATTTCCTTTAAGGAGTGGGAAGAAGTTTAGAAGAAAAATATGCTCTCCGACTGGTAGGCATACTTCACAAATTCATGGTTTTTAATCTTTTCCCCTTATATCGCCTTCTCAAAAAGAACCTCCAAGGCATGCAATCCCTTTTAAAAATGCATATTTTCTCCTCCCCCCGCTTTTCCCTCCCCAGCACACACACAGACATATTTCATGCACTCTCAGAAACCCCACACAGAGGCACTGTTGGCCCAGCATGCATCAGGCTTCTGCTGCTGCTGCTGCGGAGTTTCTTGTGCCATTCCTCAGCAGCATGGCACACACCCACGCCCACTAGGTCTGCCTGCCTTCCATGCCCTCATCCCTCTCTCTTGTTCTTCTCACCACTAGGCTAAAAGAGCACAGGTGTCTAAACAGAGCCAAGACGATCATGTTACTCCCCAGGCCACGTGGGCCCACTTGGCACATGCCTCTGGGGAAACATCAGAGAAAAAGGAAACTCATTAAAATAGTTTCTTAGGCTCCAGCTGGTTTTCCATTAAATCTGACACATGAGAGTCTACGAATTTAAAAAATTATCTAAGCCCTTTCCAAACTTTCATTGGAAATGAAAGTTGCTAAAAAAAAAAAAAAAAAAAGAAGAAAAGAAAAAAAAAAAGAAAAAAAGAAAGAAAAAAGAAAGTTGCTTGGCTCAGCTCTGGCGTGGAGATTTTTCCCCATCTCCAATCTAGAAATAGAGATAATTAAAAACAAAGTCTGCCAAGAAAGAAACAAAGGTGGCCATGAACTCTACCATGGTAACTTCTGACCCATCTTAACTTTCCATATGTTTGAGAAAAGGTATCCCACAGCCATCCTAGAAGTGACCAGCTTTACTTTCTGTCCCTGGCTAATCTTTTTAAAGAGCAGATCATCTATAGCTGAGTAAAAAAACTTAAAAAGCAGCATGGTTGTACCGTGAATTTGTGGATGGTTCAAATTTTGACACAGAAAATGAGAAAAGAAAAGAGAAAACTATTCATAGAAAAAAACAAACCTCTGATTGAAGAGAGGTAGGGGGTGGCATGAGATTAAGTGAGGAGGGAAAAGAGAACAAAAATTAACCTTATAGAAACCACAAACAAGGGGAACAGTACAATATTCTACATTCAGGAATGCCATGGCCACGT